GGGGGGAAGTGGGGGAAGGTGAAAATTCGGGAGCTCACGTGCGCGGCGAGGCTGTGCCCTTCCAGAGCGCCACCCCCCGTGCCACAGCGTGGGGGACACGCGTGGGCTCCTGCCACTGGCGTGTCCCCACCACCACCACCGTGGGCTCCCGCCCCGGCCCCCCCGGTGCCTCTGGCAGATGGTTTTGCATCGAGGTCTGGAAGAGAAAAAATGAAAAAAAAAAAAGCAGCTCCCGGCGCCTCGCCCCAGGAGTAAAGTCCAGCTACTATCGATACCTCCGCGAGGCTGATGGGATTTGGGGGGAAAAAGTGCCTAAAAGTGTTGATTTAACCCAACAGCTCGTGTTTGAGTAAGTTTTATCGGCGGCAGGTACCTGGAAAAATGGTGCTTTTGGCACGCGACTTTCTCGGGCAAAGCTGCGAAGGCCCCCTCGCCCCCGGCAAACTTTGGGCTTGTTTGGAGTGATGGGGATGGTTTTTTTTGGGGTGGAAAAAATAAAACAATAGTGGGATTTGAAGCTGGCCAAGTGCGCGGCCCGGAGGGTTCTGCAGCGGTCCGAGAACGTTAGTATTTAAAAGTGTACGGGGGGGAAAGGAAGAGTCACCTCGTTAATGTCCTTTCTAATGAGCCGTGTGTTCCACTGTAGATAAAATAATTTAAAATTAATTGGCTGCTCCTCGTTACAGCTTCTCGAAGTACACGACCTGTATCGATTATCGAGTTGTTTCAGTGGCTTTGGCATGAGGAAATTATTTAATTGGGCTTAATTAACCTGCAGAACTCACTGCTAAAATAAGCTGGAGCCAGGCGGTTTAGGGTTCAGAAAGGAGCGGGTGCTTTTCTGGGTTTGAATATGCACAATTTGGTTATTAGGCTTTAGAAACAAGTCAGCAGGTCGCTTGTAGGCAAGGGCGGCTCGTACCCTGGGCTGCGGTGGCACTGTGGGAAGCTGCAGAAGTGTCCGTCGACAGAAGTTTGGGGTCAGATGGCAGTTTTTGCAGGTTTTGAAGCACGCCCAGAGGAGGGGAAGCTGCTGCGTCCTTTGGTTTTTTTAGATAGGTGGGTTGTCGGTGATTTCGGACCGCAAGCCTTGTCTAAATTTAAACCAAACACCAAACCAACAGATATTTAACAGCCGCCAGGTTGTGGTTTAGATGAAGTGTGTGGTTTTTTGATGCTCGTTGAACTGACAAGTGCCTCCCTGTCCTGTTTGAAGGTGACGGAGTTGGTGCTCGATAACTGCCGATCCAGCAACGGTGAAATCGAAGGTCTGAATGACTCATTTAAAGAACTCGAGTTTCTTAGCATGGCCAATGTAGAGCTGACATCGCTGGCCAAACTTCCCACGTTGAGTAAGCTCCGAAAGGTACGTACCTCTGGTCTGCCAGCGCTTTCAGAAGTAAATTCGGGGGGGGACAACCCAGGGTTGCGCCTGGTGGCGCTCGCCGCTGAGCTTGCGTGGCGCCGACGGTGCTTTGGGAGGTGGGCGGCCGGCGGAACGATGGCAGTCTGCATTTGGGGTCTGAAGTTGGTTTGGGTACCTCCAGTTCATTGTGGGCACGTTGGGCTTGGTTGGTGACTCTTGGGACAGCAAACGGCTGCTGGTGTTGGGACGGTTGGCCGTGCCTTGCTGAGTGCCGACGGCTGACGAGAGGCCCTTGGGTTGCCCGACCGGTCACATACCGCTGCCCGTTGCTGGCGGAATGGAGGCTCGCGGGGAATCCCGGTGTGACAAACTCGACTAACTTAGAATTTGGATATCCACACCCGTGAGGTTTTAAGGAGAGGTTTGTAATTCCTAGAGAACTTTTTGACGGCCAAAGCTCATTACCTGGTGGGACTCTCTGTGATTAAGCTCTCAAAGGACAACGATTAAAGCTGACCACTCAATGACTGGGTTTTTTCTGTATAATAGCTGGAGTTGAGCGACAACATCATTTCAGGAGGCCTGGAGGTCCTCGCAGAAAGATGTCCAAATCTCACATATCTAAATCTAAGTGGCAACAAAATCAAAGATCTTGGCACTGTGGAAGCTCTTGTAAGTACGAAGCGAGAGGGGCTGGGGGAAAATTTAAATCTCGTAAATACTATTTTTTAATGCAGAATAAATGAACTTTTTTTGCAATGGAATGGTACAGACGTGGCTGCAAGGGCTGAGTGTGAGCGGGTTTTTCAGAAGCACAGTATGGAAAGAGGCGAACGGGGTCTTGAAACTGGTACAACCTGAGAAATCGGCGAGCGCAGAGCTAGGTTCTAGCTGCTTGCGTTCCTTTTCAGCCGAAAGGCGTGCGAAACGGAATTTCTTCTCTTACCTGTCCTGTCTTCTGTGTATTTTATTATTTTTTTTCTTGCCAGCTCAGGTGAAATGGACGCTGAGGTGGTTTAGGTTTGCCAGTGCTCCAGGCGGTCCTGGCTCGATTAACTCAATGTCAGGGGTACTGGGAACAGGGCTTGTATGGCTGTAAAGTTCCTTCTGCGGTGGTGGTGGGATGGGCTAGAGAAGAGTTTTTCTGAGCTTCTGTTTTGTCTTTGAAAGAAAAGTAGCCAAGTTCTGTCTTGCTAATCCTCTTGTGTTCATTTGTTAAGGTTTGTCTCATAAGCGACTGCCTTAAGCTTTCGTTAAGTGTGAAGTGCTTAGGACGGGGGTACGAGGCGGGCAGTTAGGAGCAGTCCTGGAGAGCACCACTAGTAGGTTACTTAACGCAGGAGGGAGCTGCCAGCGCTGTCACCGCCTGTCTGTTCGCCCATTTTTCTAGATAATTATATTTTTTTTTAGCACTTTGATATAGACTCTGTGTTTTTAAAACTGCTCATAAAGATTCTGCGTCTGCTTCAACGGCGCTTTAGCCCAGGGGTGAGCAGCCCAGGTAGAGCAGTGGCAGTGCTCTAGCGAGGAAACGCTTCTGTTAGGTCTTAGATGCGTGCCAGGCCATGCGGGTGGCTTGTTCTGCACGTGTATAGAGTCTGAAAGGTGAGAAAAATCGCCATCGCTGGTCTAGTCTTTGTTGTTGGGAAGGCAAATTGTGTAGTGGAGTTATAAATCCTACCAAGTGCTTCTTGCTTGGCTCCTCACAAGAGGCCTGTAATTAAATTAGTCAAACTGTTTACTGAAAGGCTGCTGGAGTTGTGAAGTTTTCGCCCGTGATTGCCTGAATGACCCCAGGCTACGCCAACCAAAACCAACCCCAGACGGGTGTTGCGCAGTCTGCGCACGGTGGTCTGGGGCTTCGGGGACGCGCTGCAAACGTGCTGCGGAGTCCAGCTGCCAAAGCGCCTTCACTGGGAGTTCCGAGGACCACCAGCAGCTTGCGTTTAACGGGGAGCAAAATACTGAACAGAAGGGAAGGGACGGGGCCGAAACACGTTCCGTAGCTGGGTGTGTGGTTACCTGTCTGTGGGCTGTGAGCGTGTGACTTGAAGTGCCACGTAGTTTTATCGAGAAGGGGGGAAAAAACCTTTTCCTTTCTTTTCAGCAAAATCTCAAAAACTTGAAGAGCCTTGACCTGTTCAACTGTGAGATCACAAACCTCGAGGATTACAGAGACAGCATTTTTGAGCTGCTTCATCAAATCACATACCTGGATGGATTTGATCAGGAAGATAATGAGGCGCCGGACTCAGAAGATGATGATGATGAGGGTAACTTCCTGCAATGAACGGTGGATAGAACTAGTGTGCTGTAATAGACGTGTACGTAGCGTGGGGTGTAGCGGCTTCTTAAGTGCACTGCTGTAATTCCGTGCCGCTCTTGAAGCGCAGGCTTCTAGAAGTCCCCTGGTATTAACGCACGGGGATAGAGAAGGAAAACTAAGGAAAACTCCCGTCAAAGGTTTGGAGTGTTCTTGCAAAAGCCTTCTGAGTTTAAGGGAATTTGTTATAAAGACACATAAATACTCTCAAAATAGGTTGTTGCCAGCAGTAAAGCACTGAGCGATACAAAGCAAAGGGACAAACACACGTTATTTTGTATGAAAAATTAGAATTTTACTGGTTTTTGTAATGACTTCAGTCCCGTGCTCAAGTATAATAGATTTTTTTTTTTGTTCAAAAGATGTGTAGTTCCTTTTGATTGGATCTCAGTCGCAGTCATTAGTGAGGCTGTTCCTACACCTTGTTCCGTTGTTACGGGATTGAAAACGCAACCTAGGTCTGTCAGCGGCTGCGAGGTCCGCGCTGCTGCGGTTGCAGGAGCAGGAGGGCGAGTGCTCGTCTCCGAACACGCTCGGCGTGGCAGGTGACTGACACGGGCAGAGCCCCTCAGGAAAACCCCGAGAGATGTGTGTGAGCGCTGATAGCAGATGGGATATGGGCCGCTGTTGTGAGGCAGCGTCTTCCACGCGGCTGTGCTCTAAATATCCACACAGATAACTGCTGAGGGGTTTGGGCTGGTTTTGTGGATGATGGAGGTTTCCCAGTGTTTTCTTTGCATCTTAAATCGTTCGCCGGGAGCTGGCATTGCTGGGTCGTGGCTGTCGTGGGGCTGGGGCTCAGACACACCGAGGTTTGGAAGCCTGTGTTTGAAAGAACCCCGTGAAAGTCAAATAGTTGATACTTGGAATGTGAAAGTAAACCAAATATTTGAAAATAGATTAATAGGTTATGAACTTGAAAACGAATTTAGGTGTCAAATCACCTTGTCATCTCTTGTAATTTGCTTAACTGAAACTGTGAAAGCGCTGATGTGCCCCAGACATAGAAATGAAATGCGAGGTCGTCTCCTTGGAACTGTAGGTGTTTCGTAGTTACTAGTAAGTGATTAAATACCAGATATGGGTAATGTGTTAAGCTGGTTTTGCCTTTAAATATTTTAGGGTTGGTTCCATAGAGAAGCCTTGCTTCCCCGCCACTGACTAATTCCCAGCTCCCTTGCGGGAGTTTGCATACGTCGCTGCTTCAGGCATCGAGCCTTTCTTCAGGGAAAAAAATTACGAAGATTAACTTCATTAAAGTCAGGCTTGTTTCCCACGTGTTGCCTGCATTTAAAAAAAAATAATTAATAAACCCCCAAACCCTTCTGGGAAAAAAAAAGTTACAACTTGCTTGGTCTGGTCTGTACAAACTTGCATAACGAGGAGTTAATGAAACTTGACTTTTAGCGTACGTGTGTAAGTGTATCCTTCATTTCAGAGGGAGATGAAGATGAGGATGATGAAGATGAGGATGAAGCTGGTCCTCCAGGAGAGTACGAAGAGGAAGATGATGAAGATGATGGTGGTTCAGATTTGGGGGAAGGTGAAGAGGAGGAGGAAGTTGGTCTTTCCTACCTGATGAAAGAAGAGATTCAGGTAACGTTCGTAAATGCAAGAAAAGCTGCCGGCAGCCGTGTGCGGTAACGGGGGGACACGGGGCTGGTAACGGCAGGGGAGGCGCAGTGAGGCGTTTGGGCGGGAACTCCGCTGTTGCTGGAGTACCCAGGGTTGAACGGGAGCGGTGGCTGTCAGCTACGAGGATGGGCCTGGCTGACTTCCGAGGCTTGGATCGCTCTTAGCCCACCCCGTACCGGTGCAGGACGGTCGACCCTCTTTATTCTCTGTAAGTTCTCCCCAAAGCTTTGAAACTCTGCACTGTGACCAATTACATGTCAGAATAGAAACACATAATGAGTAGAATAAATGAATTTCTTCTGGAAAACCAAGGAGAATACCCTGGTCTTGTGAAAGAAGAGAATGAAGCAGCAACAAGTTAGCAGCACTTCAAGTGAAATGAAACAAAGGAGAAGTCTGTGGGTTTTGCTGTAACAAATGTTGGGTTTTTTAACCATGCACTCGCTTGAAAATGTTGGTGGTGGTGGTGTGAAGAAAATAGCCCACAGGGTCTTCTGAGTAGTTCTGTGCTAAAAAGCAAGTGGAGGAGTATTTTAGGGTAAGAAAATACACCCGTTTTACAAGGTTGTGAGTGGATTCTTGCAGATCTAAACATCTTGTGCCAAAATGCTTATTGGGTAGAAGGAAAACCCAGGAGTCCTGACTCGGTGCTCTCCCTTGGCAGCTGCAGGGGTTTCCGAGGGAGAAGGTGTCAGGCGTGGATTTTGTGTGCAGGTCTGTGCAAGCAGCTCACACGTTCCAGATCGCAGAACCCCCTGCGGCCACCACTGCCATTACTGTTACTATTGATGAGAGTTCACTTCCTGTCAGCTGCCTTTCACGTGGATGTGCAGAGAGTCTTGAACTAAACTCTCTGGTGTTCTTCATTTTGGCCTTGGAGCAGGCGCTTGGGCGATTTGGGTAACTTTGTTCTGCCTTAACGCTCTGAAGGGGTAATGGCTGTGGCGCAGTTAATTCCTGAAGCTAAAACTAAACCGCTTTTGAAGCCAAGACTTCAGAGGTAGTTCTTTGGAAAATGAACAATATGCGACAAGGAGGAGCATCAGGAGTTAATCGTGTGTGGTCGTTAGTATACGCATGGGCTCCGCACGATGTCGATGTCGGGGCAGCTCCGACCCGCAGCTCTTCTGTTGATGCTGCAACAAAAGCAGACGTGGAGCTTGTGTTTTGCGTTTAGGGAAGGAACAGGGGGCTGGCCCGGGCGAAGCATGTAAAGGTTTGGAAGAGTTCTGGTCTGGTAGCTTTTCTCTGTATTTCCAAAAATGAAATCACGCGCTGTTCTAATTGCGATGGATTAATCCAGAGTGGTTTTTAATTCCTGCGTTCGAAGGGCAGGGGTCAGGTGGGCTCTCTAATGTTTCCACATTTTTACTGGTTACGCTACCCTACGTATAGAATTTGATATAGCGGGTGGATATAAAAATCAGACTTGAGCTTGTCTGCAAGGCTGACGTGGTGCCCATAGGGCAGAGATCTTGCACCATTGTTTAATTTTCTGGGGCTCCTGATTGTTAATTGGTTTACATTTTTCAGCTAATCAGCTTTAAAAAAAAAAACAACCAAAAAACAAGGGAAAAACCCCAGCAACTTAAGTCATTTGACATAAACCCAATAATTTTGTGAAGATATTAGCTCTTCTGCTTTCTCCTCTTCCTTGTCCTTTAATGACCGTGGGTTAAAAGCAAAACTACAGCTGTTTGTCATTTCTATTTGCTGTCGTGGCCCCTTCGGTTAATTTTGCAATAACTGACTCTTGGGCTGGCGTAAGGTAGAGATAAGCGGGAAGAACAAAGAAACAAGAACACGGGGCCAGATAATACCCAGGCTGGGGTGATGCGGCGTACCATGGTCTGGCTGCCTGTCCCTGTCTGGGTGTCCAGGAACAAAATGGGAGTGTGGGATGTCGCCTCTGGACAGAGCAAGGAGGATTTTCTCAATTTCCGCTCAGGATCAGCGTGTAAGCAAAACTTAAATCAACCACAGTTGTAAAAATACTTCACCATTTTTATAAAGGATGAAGATGATGATGATGACTATGTTGAAGAAGGAGGCGAGGAGGAGGAGGAAGGTAAGATCTCAAGTTATCAAATTTGTGACTGAAGCAATTGATTCTTTCTAATTCCATAACTTTGCAAGTTTGGGATGTGCGGTTTAATGGCAGAAATCACCGTTTGGCTGGTCCGTCTCACGATTGGTTTAAGAGCTCAAGCAGGTGGTAAAGTAGCTGTGCAGTGTTTGGTGTGCTGTTGTCCCCTCACTTGGCAAGTGAAAATAAGGAAGAAATTAGAGTTTTCAAAGTCTCGTTGGAGCAGTTTTCTAAAATGAAGGATACTGCATCTCCTACGCTGCTAGAAATTTTAATTTTCCAGCGTGGAGAGGAGAGGGACTCTTCTGTGTGCCTTGCACTGCTACCTACATACCTTTACAATACCTCGTTTCGTGCACCAGAGACAAAGCCCCCGAAGCAGCAGTAGCTGCTGGGTCTTTCCCCTTTATCAAGCTGGAAGTGGCTTCTCCAGTAAACCCTTCTGCTCCAGGGGTGACTCCTCGAGTCCAACTGGACCCTGTCTCCTGTCTAACGGCTTAGCCGGCGAGCCTGATCGTATTTTTTCTGATTAGTCTTTTTATCAATGGTTGTAACTTCTTAACTTCATAAACTACCGGTTTGATGTCAGGTACATGCATAATAGTGAAAAGCTTGTGAAAAAGCCTGCCGGTGCGGTGGTTCCTCCCGCTTTAAGGCGGTGCAGCGTGTCAAGGGTGTGCACCTGGTGTGGGAAAGGTGGCGTTCTCGCAGGCTGATGCTGCCCTTCTGGTATTTTGCAGGACATAAAGTTCTGTTTGCAGGAAGCGGGTTGAGTGTTTTTTTCATAAAACAGCATTTTATTTTATCTTTTGATGTGTCAAAAAGGACCTGCAAGAAGTCAAACAGGACAAACATACCCCTCATTCTTTTTTGCCGCTTTAATTGAGGTTTCGAAGCTGTCAGGGTAGGGACCAGCGGTGCGGCTGATGCCCCCGCTCTGTTCTGGCGCACTGGGACGGAAGGTGCTCTGCAGGCGGAAGGCCTGGTCTGGATTCTGGCGCAGATACCGGCGCGCTCTGATTTGTGGGTGGCTTAGTTGTGTGCACCTCTGTGTTCCGAAGGCCGAGATCAAGATGCCGGATAGGAGTCCCGTTACACCAGCCAGCGGCTGCTGAAGTCCCTTAAAAAAAATTGTCAAGCTTCATCTTCAAATTAGCTGTTTTTTTTCTCTGTACTTCTGCTGTGAGGCTCTGCCAGAACTTTGCTTTTCTAATGCTTAGGAACTCAGTCCCGATCTTTAAGCTGTCCCTAGCAGCCAAGTTGTGTATTAGTCCTGAAGCCTGTGCAAACGGTAGACAAATTCTAGAATTTCCCACCAGAATCTCACCTGTGCGCTCGGCTTGATGGAGCGGTTTTTGGAGATGGAGCTTGCGCTTGAAAAGCTTCTGAAGTAGTAATGCTGGTCCTTCCCTCTTTACAAACGCAGCCTTCGCGTCTATTAAGACACCAAAGCAGGCGGTCCGGCTGGCTCATTAGCCAGGAAATGACTGCTGGAAAAGAAATCTATTAGAGTTGACAAAATTGCATTTCATGATTTCACCACAAGAGCGCATAGTCCACTGACCAAATTACGGATATTTGTAAGAATAAGCTCAAAGAGGTTTATGCAAGATGCTTGTACCGGCTTGGCATTGGAGGGAGAACGGAGCGTGTTTCGCTCAGTGTCCGCAGAAACTGCTGGGGTTTGGGCAGCGTGCGTGCGGCTCCTGAAGTTAGGGAGATGCAAAACTGTCATTTTCATTTTAGGTCTCAAATACACATTAAGAAACACTTTTGTATAGGTCTGCTTCGTGTCAGTAATCCCTGTGTGCGTACCTCTCTTCCTTAGCAGAGGGCATTCGAGGGGAGAAGAGGAAACGAGACCCCGAAGATGAAGGCGAGGAAGAGGATGATTAATTTGTCATAGACACAAGTAGGACCAGACTCTTCAGTTACAGAATACGCAATAGTGATTATGCAGATCTGTATGTCTCCATGTACCATAGATGTCCCTACAGAAGATAATATGTTAACTTTTTATAGGAGAAGTGTGGTTTTACTATTCTTGCCCTTTTTATCATTCCAAATAAGATATAATAGCCTGTTAGTGAACCTATATGTAGAAAACAATTTCCAGCCCTATAATCACTGAAGCCATTGTCAAGATTTCCCCCCCTAGACTTTTATTTGGAGCTCTTTAATTTTATACAAGCTTGCTGTGTTGGTCATCATTAGCCCAGAGTTAAAACACCCATCTCACGTGGGTTTAATCTTGTGAATTTCCCTGAAGTTTTTATACTTAAAAAACTGAACTCAAAACTGCTACATGGCGAATTCCAGACTCTTTTAAAAGAGAAGCTGACTGTAGTCTGAGTTTACCAGAGATTCTGTTTGAAATCAACAACTAGATTACACCTTTATTTCAGCTTTGTGAAAGGTGACTCCTGTAATGTTTTTTTTAAATCTTCTGTCCCGTTCTGTGCATTATGTTGTAAAGCCTGAGTGGGTTTCAGAAGATCTTTTTTTTTTTTTTTTTTTTTTTTCCTGCTGGTTCAGACATTCAGTGGTTGCTGGAGTATTCACTAGATACCTTCAAGAGCGTATCTTGGCCAACTGAAAGGGTTGTAATGAGTAAATTTTCTCCAAAATAGTCATTGCAGGTATTAACAAAAGTAAATAATCTGTAGTTTTAAACCATTTCGCTAAAAGTCTTTGTTAAACTTTCACTCACCTCGCTCTTGCATTGTCATGTTGGGAATTCTGCAACAGTCATGGTGTTTGGCTATAAAATATGTGCATTTCTAATGCAGCGTTAACGGGTAACTCCTTCAGGCACGTTGTTTTGAAACACACCCCCCCCCACTTTTATAGAATCACTGAAGGGGGAAAGATGAACATGTGTTAGTCTTTCTTCGCAGGTCACCTTTTAAACTTTTTAAATCTGGTTGTAGGCAAAACGTTCATGTATAATACTAGTTAATAGTGTAGAGTTTTTTATATGGAATGGCTGCAGAAACCTGTTCCATTGCAGACAGTTGGTGGCCAGTGCAGGAGACGCCCAGACGAGCTTTTTTTCTAGCAGCCTGATTGTGACCGACAGGTCTCGATAGTTCTGCCCCAACGGATTCATGTTTTCTATTGGAGTCACTGCGCAACAAGTTCAGACACACAGCATTCCTCTGCCCGTCTTGATTTGGGTTTAAAGCAGCAGTCTTGATGTAAAACTAATTTACATTGTTTCATGTAGGTACTGAACCAAATATCACACACAGCTTTATTCAAGAGACTTATTTTTATACCTGTCTTGGCTGACAGTAGCTGCCATTAAACTGGGGGAGACACCAAGGGTGGGGAAGAGGGAGATGTCCTGGACCTAAGTGAGAGTCAGTCACCCATAGATCGGTTACCTGTGAATATTTACTAGGTATTTCACACACTAGCAGACTTTAAACGTGACTTCCAGCTCTTAAATCGAGTTTAGATACTGCAGGGTTGAAGTTCTGCAAAGCCCAGTTTCTTGTGTGTGTGGTTTTTCCCCCCCCCCGAATAGAGCCTTAAATCATAGTTTCTCATGTAGCTGTAAAGCATCGCCAGCCACGAAAGGCGTCGGAACGAAACGAGTCAGGCAGATGGCAACAGGCGTGGAAACGAACTGACCGAATGGGGTTTGCATTTTTTAATGAGTATCTGTAAAGACACTAGAAACGTAGTGGTGAAACTACATTTGCAACCACAATCTAAGTTCCTGTGTTTGTGTATGAATCCTGAATGAATAGAAACCTTAGGTAAGTGCACATCCTATCGTGTCGTGGAGGCTCTGTGTTCAGGGCAGTTGCTTAGTGCTCAGCTTCGAGATAGAAAAGTGTGTTTTCCCATCTTTTTGCTTACTTTTTTTTTTTAGTCTTGGCGAACGATTGAAGCCTATTATTTATAAGCGTGTACTTTAAAGTACGTCATTGTCAGGGTTTTCCTTAACTGTCTGTTACTGATGCATATAACATTAGTTTTAAATGGAAAAACTTTCTATTTCGATGGATTAGAATTATTTGAGTGCTGGTCTCGTTTCAGTACGCGAGTCCAGCCTTGGCACTGGACGAGCTAATTGGACAAAGCAGGACAGGCTCGGGAGGGGTTGGCAGACCTTCCCCCGGATGGGCAGACGTAACGCTTCCTCAGACCAACTCGCAGGGTCGTGCATCAGCCGCTACACCTAAAAATCTGAGCCTCACACAAAACGTAACTTCCGAAGTAACTTCGTCTTCTCCTCAGTGTTACCATCCAAGTATAGTTTCCTATTTGTCAGCTTGGCATGCGATTAAACGGCATAGCATTTTTTAAAATAAGTAATACAGAGCCTCCAGATAACTTTTGAAACTTTTTTGCTTGGTGGGTGGTCTTTTCATGCAAATATGTAAGGGTGGGTTTTATATTTTGTAGAGGTTTTGTCCTATTTTAATGCTCTTTGTATGGCAGTATGTATATAGTGTGTTTCGGTTCCTTATCAAACTCTTTCCTTAAACTTTGGAGTATCTGATTTTGTGCAACTGTGTTTTGAATAAAGCCATGACAGTGTTAAATTAAAGAAAACAACCCTGCAGCACTGATAATTTTTAGTTGTAACAAAACATGTTTCCTCCCCACGTGTGCTGTAAATTTTAAATTAAAAAGTTTTCAAACCGAATTATTTCAAATAAATTGAGACTATTGTATTGGATTACTTGTTTTTAGTATGCACAGCTGTGGAGAATGCCGTCTTTCTGAAGGAACGGAGTGAGAGGTAACTGTTCTTCCCTCTTACCTTTTCGCTGCTGGGGAAACCTGCAGAGCTGTGTCTCTTTCTGGGGCTAGAACTTGGACTTGATGGTACTGTAGTTCTTGGTAACACCATCACAGTCGAGGAAGGACGCTAGGGCAAACCCACAGCAGAGTCTGGTTAGTTCCCTTAGAGCGTTTCCAGAGGAATTTAATGCAGAAACGAGTGTTGGAGCTGACAGGGCGTTTGCATATGGTATAAACCACCACCGCTCCAGCGTAGCTGAGCTATGCAAGTCTGGCTGAGTCTTAAGAAACAAAAATGAACAGCAAGAGCCTGGGTATGTTTTGCTTTTCATAAATGCTGACTTAGTGTGCCCGACAGCCTGAGCTGCAGGTCTGACGCTGTGCTTTCAAAGCAGCTGCCTCGGTCTGTGTGAATTGCTCCTCATGCAAGAACAATGTTTAGGAAAAGCTGCTTCTCCTATACAGCGAGACACGGCATTGTTTTTATTTTGGGATTAGTCCAGCATTCTTGGCAAAAATCCCCTGGATGCACTTGAGAAAGCTAGTAACTAAACAGGCTTTTCTTCATGATTAGCCAAGACATGGGTGGTGGTTTTCTGGGATTTTTTTTTTTTTTTCCTCCTTTTTTTAAAGTGTGGGGAAGAATTGCCTTTCCAATTTTGCCGCTCAATCCCTGTGCACCTATTTGCCGAAGGGGGAAGCTGAGCTTTTAGCATTGTTTTTGACAAAAGTTGAGTCTACCTTTTGGGGATAGTGGTGGGCTTATGTTAAGTAAAACCGGGCTGTTCCATTCTGGTACGTGCACGGCAAAGGAGACGAGGGGAAATGCAGCGCTGTGCAGGCACGTCTTCAAAATCAGGAAAAACTTGAGGCGTGGGCTGGCTGCTCCCGAGCTCATTCCCTTGGAGGCGAGCAGCTTGTCGTGACCTGCCATAAACCACCTTTCTCCCTGCCCCAGCCTGGCGGTCCCTCCGGTTTCAAACACCGCCGCTGCTGCTGAAGCCACCCAACCGG